GACGTTCAAACCGAGGCGTAACATAGTTTAGCTCGCCACAAGCTCTACTTTTCATTAAATTACCTTTTTTTCCACCCTTTTGCCGGAGGCCTCTCGGTCGCCCCAGCGCAGGGCAGCCTCATGGGCATTTATAACGGGGAGGAGTTCGTCTTCGAGGAGAGCCGCTGGTACATCCTCAACCTTCTCAAGCTCCTCTGGCGCTACGGGCTCAACCCCCTGCGAATGTCCATGTGGGTGGAGGACGTCCTGGACAAATTCATGCGGTATGTCGGGGCCCCTGCTAAGGGAAAAGGTGGGGAACTTGCTGCCCAGTTTTAAAAAAAAAATTAAAAAATGGGTGAAATCATCCCATCGCCACTGAGAAAGGCGTCTCCGGTTGGCTTCTCTCCGTCGCCGATCGTTTTCCTAAGGAAAAAGATCGAGATGAGCGCCGTCGTCTTCAAAGAGGTCCAGCGACAGCAAGAGGCTGCGGTGGAAACACGGGTTAGAGGTGGGTTGTCCTGTTGATCTGGCATCCGAGCGCTGAAGAGAATTAACGGTGTTTAACTGGGCGCAAGGCGCTTTTGTTAGGGGAGGTCAGCAAATGACGTAACGAAGGGTCTCCTCGGGTCGGGGCTTGGCTGGGAGGACAAGCCCTGATGCTCCCACGAAGCCCTCGGGAACTGCGCTGTGAGATCGGCGGTGACGACGATTTACGGCGACCGAACCCGGTGCAGTCCCTTCGCCGGAGGAGAGCGCCTCGGCCAGCGCCCACGCAAACCTATTCCTTGTCTCCGCTTAAAGGATCTATCGCTACCAGACGCACGACTACGCCTTCAGCAGTAACGAGCGCCTGCTTCACGCCCTCGGAGGGAACGACTTCACCCGGATGCTGAACCAAACCATCGACGAAGCCATGCAGAAAGCCGGCTTCTCCCACAAGTTCATAAACGAGATGGTTTGTCCGGCCATGAGAGTCAACTACGGGCAAGGCGTCAACATCAACGGTTTCGTAGGTGAGCGTTTCGTAGGCGCCGCCGCTGCGGTAAAGGGGTGCAGAAGGTGAAACGGCCACGACGACGCGTCTGTCCCGGGGACCTTGTGCTCTTCATGGCCGTCGGGGTTCCTGCTCCCTGGGCTGGTACGGCACAGCAATACCTCCCGCGTGCTGCCTTACTCCGACTAATTACTGGCTTACGCAAGCTTAGCTAAGCTTAACTGCTGAGCCCTGGCCTTCAGCAAGCGCTGTGCCCTCAAGGGGTATTTTTCCCGCCGCCCCCCCCCTTAATTTTCCGCATTCTGTTTCAAATACCCCCCTACAGAATGACGCCGAGCGAAGCGCTCTAACGATGGTGGCTTCCTTGTAGGTGCTGTTTCTCTGGCAGGAGTAGAATCGGGCCTTTGGTCTGTAAAAGGGGGGAACAAACTTGTCTGCACTGGCCTTATCTACGCCTCCAAAGCTGACGTCATCCCTGGTACGGTTTTGTCTATAGAGCCAAAAATCAGACCCGGACCCAGACCCACAGGTGAGTTGGCTTCGCTTTCCCTTTGGCGGGGAGGGGAACGGCACGCTCCGGCAACTGGAGACCGATGTCGGCCTCCGGCAGCGCTCGGCTGCGGCTCTCAGCAGACCGAAGCAACGGCCTGGGTCTTCCTTGGTCTTTTAAGATGAAAACTGGGCTCTGCTCAAAGCCCCAGGTCGCAGCACTCCCTCAGCTAAGCTGGGACTAGTTTATAAAGCGACTTCAGCTCACAACAAGGCGTAATAAGCCTAAATGGGATGGTGCTTGTTGGAGGGACAAACGGGATTCCTGCCAGCCACGGGGCGGGATAACTGAGCCCCGCTCCCGCTCCTCTCCCCAGGGGACCCGGTGAAGCTCTACCAGGTCACCTACAACACTACGTCGGGACTAACGGGGGATACGTACGACATCGTCGTCATCGCTGCTCCGCTGAGCCGTAAAATGGCCAACATCACCTTCAAGAACTTCGACCCTCCTGTCCCGGAGTTCCCGAATCCTTACCACCAGACTGTCACGACGTTAGTGCACGGACGACTAAACGCCTCCTTCTTTGGTTACGGGGACCCATGGGCCTTTCATTTCGGTGCCATCTTCACTACGGAGAACCCCAAACTCTTCATCAATAGCCTGGGGGTGGTGTCTCCCGTGGAAGACGTAGGCAGTGAAGGAAAGCTGCCCTTGCAATCGGCCGTCTGGAAAGTGTTTTCACAGGAGGTGCTCACCAAAGAGCAGCTTAACTTGCTTTTCTCCTCCTACGACTCTGTCAGAGTGAAGAAGTGGCTGGCATACCCTCACTACAGCCCCCCGGAAAAATGCCCTCCCGTCATCCTCCACGACAACATCTACTACCTGAACGGCATCGAGCGGGCCGCGAGCGCCATGGAGATGAGCGCCATCGCAGCCAAAAACGCCGCCCTGCTCGCTTACCACCGGTGGTACGGGAACACCGACAGGATCGACCAGGAGGATTTGCACGAGAAGCTGAAAACGGAGCTTTGAGCCCCGCGGGGCCAACGGCCGGGCGCTCGCGGGAGCATCCGCGCTGCAGCCTCCGGAGGTACGGATCGCGTACGGTAGCTGTTTAGCCGCGATTAAAGCTAACGATCGAGGAACCCCTTGCTTTGCCCGTAAGAGGAGACACTCGGCCAACTCAAGAGCGGCAGCGAGCAGGCAGAGAAAGCTTGCCCAAGCGAGCTGGCCATTCTTCCAGCAAACTCCTCTGGCCTTTCCTCCAGCAAACGCCTCGATCCAGCCCTACGTGAGATGAAAGAAGTTTTAAATGCCATATTGACCCCAGAAGTGCCCTCCACGGTAAGGAGTCTGCCAAACTCAGGACCTGCATCACTGTGATTAACCCGTGCCCGTCGCTTTCCCCCCTCTGGCTGTGTTTCAGGCAGGGAACATCAACTTCTTGACTGTAAACGTCTCTGCCTCGGCTGTTTTCTGAAGGGTGTTATCACATCGTTATTCCTTGGGGTGGGACGAGTGCTGTGGAAAGCGGGGCTGCATTCCTAATTTGCTTCCCGAACAAGTACTGTAGCTTACAGGTGGGAGGGCCTGTCTGCTGGGAGTGCATGAGTTGCCAAAACGGGTGGTAAGCAAGCAAAAAGAGATGTCCTCTGCTTTGTCAAGGTTTGAAAGTGTTAATAATTTAGATTACCTGACCCTACAGCAGAGCACCACTAGGTCTGAGTAGGTAAAAACCCTTTTCGTGAGAATACTGTGCCCCTTGACTGCGTCTAATAGCGCCGCAATACCTCAACCGTGTGTGAATATTGCCGTTATAAATAAAAAAATTAAGGCACTGTTTGGAAAGGAAGCCAGTGCCGTTGCCTCGAGATCTGATAGTGTCATCCGGCTGCATCCTCGCTGTGCCACAACGGCCACGGCAGTGACAAAAGCTGGTGGGGGGGGGAAAGAAAAATGTCACTGTACTTGCAGCCTGTGGCATCCCAGCAGAACGCTTCCTGTCCCAGAACAGGCGTCCCTTGCGCCAGAGCACTCTCAAAAAGTGAGCTCAGGGTTTGTACTCGTGGTGTCCGAGTTGTTCCCGGTAACGACTGTTAAATTTGCCGAAAAAAGCATTTCAGCTCTGCCCAGAGCTCGCTTTCTGCTGGTTTTGGCATCCTTAAGGGCGCTTGAGAAAGCACAGAGCGCCTCTGTATGAAAAATGCGGTGACAAAAAAAACCCAAACCAACAAACCATCCCTGCCAATAAGGGCCGTAAAGGGGGTTTGCTCACTAAAACAAAGCAAAAAGGCCAGTTTCTACCTGGCTCCTGCTTAGGAGGAAGATCTGAAAAGCTTTTCAGCTCCTCTTCAGCCCTTGCAGGCTTTGGTTCCTGCACCAGAACTCCATGATGCAGAAGTAACAGTAGAAAAAAATATAATTATTAAAAAAAAAAAAAATCCTACTTTCGGGCAGCCCACATGACTTTTTGCAGAGGAGAATTTTACCATTTTCCTACCAATTCAGGACCAAATGCTGCACCAGCCCGACGCAGCTTTACGAGGTACTAAGGGGAAGGACACCAAAGGTAGCGCCAATTTAACATCTGCTCCAATAAATTCAGCCTCCTGCAGAGTTTTAAAGGTGTTGGGAGCAAAATTAACAACTGCCCCCCACACTGCACTGAAGAACCTGCCGCCCCCGTTACACCCAAAAAAGCAAGTACGACCCACGCAAGTTATGTCAACCATTACAAAAATTTATTTAATGAAAATAAACAAACAAAAAATAAGTTTAAGCTCAGGGACGCTTCACGGCAGATTCAATGAGTAAACAAAATAGGTGGGTTAGATCTCGTCAGGGCCGGTAACGACGCGGGTTTCTCGGCGCTATACTCGTTCCAAGGCTTCCAGCATAATGATGCTGTTTCCTCGTATTACCTGAAAGTGAGAGTTCGGAGCAGCCGGTGAGACGCAGCCGTTAACCTGGAGCGCTGCACAGGTCCCCTCCCTCAAACTTATTTTCCTCGAAAGCCGACACTGCGCCAACAATTCACGCGAATCCCCCTGCAAGGCTGAACACCGGCCGACTTTAACCCTAAAACCCCAGGGATTGTTGCGTGCCGTTACGCTAAACGCATCCGCTCGTGAAATTTCGGCTCGTTTAAGACATGAGCCCGCTGCGGCCAGCGCTCACCACCATGCCGATGTTGTTCTGCTGTCCTCCCGGCGCCATCTCCACGCACTCATCGATGACGAGGTTCATGAAGGGATCAAAGCCTCGCAATATCCCCTGGACGTGTCGGCCGCCATTTAGCTTCACTGCAAGAAAGCGAGGACGGTTAAAGACCGCGGGCTTTTCGCGGTTTCTCACCGGAACAAAAGCATTTAGAGCATCACGCCCCGCGCGGTAAGAAAAGGCCGTCCGGAGAGTTCAGGAGTGCCGATTTTAAACGAATATTGACCCCAATTAATAGATTTGGAAGGTTGAAACTAGCCGGGGGCCTCTCCGGGCGCTCTGCTC